ATTTTGGGTCCAGTGAAAACACTAAGACAAGCTCTTACTACCTTCCCAAGAGCTGGATAGCAAGGCATAACCTCTCTCCACCAGTGATCCAGTCGGGTGCTGTCATTTATCCCAGGTAGGGTTGGATCCGTCTGTATTCTTGAGACTTCTCTCAAATACTGATCCTTTGATTTGCCGTCTTGATCAGTCACGTCATTGAGTGATAATTAAGAAATTATTAACGATTTTCTAAATACAAGAAAGTACAAGAAATGATTATAAACTTTAATAGATCTATAAAGTAAAATTTACTAACCACGTGCATAGTGCATATCCTGGCCTGTCCACTTTCCTCACAAAGTCTGATAAAAAGTCACCATTTACATATTTTTCCTCCAGCCACGACCAGTTGAGCTTGTTCTTTACCTTTCCTTCTATGCTACTGATATCCGCCGACCTATCTACTTGTTTGTACATTTCATTTGATCTATTATCGCTTCGGTAAACACCTTTGAATAGATAAGGCTCTTGTATTGTCTCGCTCAATAGAAAGGTACACAAAAGAATGACCACATTTTCTAAAGCACGTTTTCGAGATAAAATCTCGTTCACATGACATGAAGTTTGCATTATAAGCATACAAGGTCTCATACACGCCAGCAAGCATTGCGAGACCACAAAATGGCGGCGCCCTGTCGCTGAATGTAAACAAACCACGCGATTGCATAAACGCTTATCTATGGCATGGAACACCAAAATCCGATAAATAATTTTAAAAAATGTGTTTCTCAGGAAGAAAACCAGAGGTTTTCAGGATTTTTTAGAAATATCCGGATTTCCGAATATATCCGGAAGACTTTCATCATTATAATACAAAGTAACTTATATCTCAACCTGAAGCCTTTAACCCTCCTTTGAAACAGTTGTGAAAGATATGAAGGCCATAAGAACCTGTTCTTAAAAGATCAACATTGTGATCTTTGGCAAGATTAGCATCAAATTTCCATATAGGCTCCAATTAATATTAGGGCCATCCATGAACAGTTGAACAAGGTTTTAATTGCCCAAATTTCCTACAAAATTATCAAATGAGTCCTGCAAATTGACAGCTGCAGCATGACCGAGGAAACTGCTGCTGTACTATCTTGTCCTGACAACGTTAACGTCCCAAAATCGTATTAGAAAATCTGTTTCTTCTGAAGGTGTTCATTGTGGCTTTCATCCAATAACAAAACATATTAGATGTGGAGCTAATCCATAACACATTAAGTACGTGGATTTTGTCTCTCCACAAGTTGCATTTTTTTTGCTATTTCACTGTCTGGGAACTGCTTCTACCAAATAAATGAAATATCACCACTTGATCTAAATGAATAACCAGAGCTGATCGTTTTTAAGGCCCACCAAATCTCAGCCTTCAATGAATTGTTTTTTGTGAAAAATAAAGTTATATTGGACCCTCTTGAAGATGATGTTTGAAGACTGGGCTTCTTAATTATTTTTTGGTGATGAATTGGTTGTTGATAGTGCAAAATTAGTTAATGACTGAGTTTTGGAAAGGGCATCTTCTTTCTTCTTATGTTTTTCCCCCTCTCATGTGACTGTATAGAGTGGAAGTGTCTACAGCTGACATGTTTATCTCTTTCATACACAAACTGCTTGATAGAGATTCTTCTCTCTTTTGATCCACTTCCTAAATTTGTCAGCTGTAAGCCAAACATTTTGAAATTTGCAATTTCCAGGTACCCAAAGAGAGGATATGAAAAGCAACTAAGAAAAAGGCCATGTTTTCTTTCTGTAAACCTACTGAAGGGGCAGGCTGTAGGCCTATGTCAATGTTTGGGTACATGAATGCCAACTTATGAAATCAGCATTAATAGAAATGCTGAAATTTTTATTACAACTGACAATGGAAGGGTACAATTAGAAAAACGAAATACAAGCCACAGTTGGTTTCATGATACTCCATTGTGCATTCAGTGGGCTAGGCCTACTCTAACAACAGCCCTTAGTTAAGACCCAGCTTTGTACACTATGATAAGTCTAGGTCAGTCTAAGCCTAACAGTTACATGTAACTTGGCTTATGTGGTGAAGGGGATGTTCAAAAAGTTATGAACCTTAAACATAACTTGCTGAAGCCTAAACTTTACACCATACATTTATTTTCTTTTAAAACTTTCCACAGACCATTCTGTGCATAGATCCCTATTGACAGCTTATCCTAAGTTAACATTTATGTTAGTCAGTAACAGTAACTTAGGATATAGCCTAACATTAAGCCTAGGTTTAGGCTACTCTGGTTAGACTTCATAGTCCCAACTGACATTGAGAAATGGGATAATAATAAAATGCAGTGATTGAAGGCAATGATATACAAATATTTTCATCTGAAGCACATTAAAATCAAAATAACATACCTTGGCAGCTTCTGAAAATGGTGATTGAGCTTTTCTCGTATTAACAATGAAATTGGTCACATTGTAAAATGACGAGTTAGATGACTGTTTGAGGCATGTACATAAACAAGCTAGCTTATCAAGTGCATGTTTATTTAATTCTGCTAGTGCACCAACACCTTTTGGCATGTTTTGACTAAGCAGCTAACTTAGATGAAAAGGGAACAGTATCATCCAAAACTGACAGATTGCAAAACTTATTTCATTTTCATGTGTTTTTTCTAGCTTTCTTTTCACTGAAATATATAGATTCTAAACAAATAAAAACTTTATTTACATGTGCTTGAAAAAGCTAACAATGATAGATCTGTAATTTTACAGACCAAACATTGGAAAAATCGAGGACTTTCAATGCTTTGAAACACAGTTGTTTGTTTTCCCAATCAAATGGGAACCCCCCTGAATGTCTTAAGTGTCTGAGCTCCCTATTTCATACATTGTTTTTTCACCTTTGATCCTGTAAAATAATAAAAAAAAGAACAAATCCCAAATATATCCATTAAAAAAAAGTATTGGTGGGGGGGGGGGGGTAGGGGAAGAGGTATTTTTGTCAAAAGTCTAGTCTCGATTTGGCAACATATAAAGGGATGGCATGCCACAAGCCCTATCATGCAAAATGTTTACCAGTACATTAAGAGTATATGTTTATTTATTCTGCAATATTTACAATTTCTTAGGAAGGAGGGTTTGTTACACTCTTTAATAAAATTGTTCATTACTTAATTTTGTCTGTGCTAAGGTATCTTTACAAGTATTAGAGCCTGGTTTATTCTGTAATAGTTATTTCCACCAATGAGCTTCGTTTTCCCCCAGTTCTTCAATTACCGAGTTTCATGTTGAATTGTTCCTCATGTGTAGGCACTTAAAAGTGAGATCGATAGTTTTCTTCCTGGTTATAATGTGTGCATCTTCTTTGATCACATAGTCTCTAGTTTTTCCACTCTTGTGAAAATTTCCACATCATACTCTCATCCATACAATTCTGTTGATCTTGCTACTTTTATCATTGACTAAGTAATTCTCTCCCAATTGACTTTTTAATATCTTTATAAGTCACAATATGATGAATTATCGATTCTAGTCCACATTGCTTGGATTTTTTGCTCAAGCATTTTCTGATGCATCTCTTGTAATGCTCTCATGATTTCTTCCAAAGTGGATTCTTCCTTCATGAGTTGGATCACTTCACTGGTTCAGACCTGGTTTAGCTGCTTGATAAAGCAAGTAAGCCATGAAGGTTGTTCGATACAGTCCATTAATTTCATCATCTCTTTCAAAAAAATATTTGGATATCTATCTTCCATCATTTTCATTTGATACTTTTTCTGACCATTTCATAATTCATACTTGTCTCTCCAACTTCCATTCTCTACATGTAATCAGGTGTATTTCTATGTATTTCCTTTTGCATCTTTCAAGCTCTTTGTTAACATTCCAGCTCCAAGCTTCCACTCCATACAACAAAACATTTTCTGAATCAAACTTTTAAAAAAGTATATTTTCTTGTTTAACTCTTGCATCTCACTTTTTTTTTTGCTGTACTGATGATCCTTTGAGCCTTTCCACTTTGCTGCTTTATGTGTTCCCTGTGTAGTTTTTGTAGAAAACCAAACTCCCAAATACTGGTAGTGGTTGTATATTCACTTACCTTTTTTACTAAGCTTCCCTCCTTTAAGAAATACCATCATCTTCAATTTTTCCAGATTAAAAACCAGTTCTTTTCTTTCTACACATTTTTTGCATGGTTTAACCACTTCTCTCCTGTCATTTCTATACTTCTATGGTCAACCAGTGCAACAATGTCATCTGCCAATTTAAGATCAGTAATTTTTTCCTCAATATTCCTTGTGATCCATTCATCTTCCCAATCATTGATAAAAATACTAAATAACACTGGGCTTAATGGACATCCTTGTCTCACTCCTTTTGAAGTCCAAAACTTATCTGATTGTACTCTTGGTAAAATGATGTTCTTTTTTCCCCTATAAATACTTTTGACCATCCTGTACATTCTTCCTCTAATCCCCATTTTCCAGATCTTTTTGCACAGCTTCTTCCTACTGACCTTGTCAAAAGCTATTCTAAAGTCAATAAACCATTCCTATAATCTTCCTCCTGTTCTTCTTACCTTATTTTTGATTAATGTATTCAACACAAAAAAGTTGCCTCATGTCGTGTAATTTCTTTCCTGAATCCTACTTGGTTTTCTTTTATCAGCCATTCTTTTTCGAGCCAGTCCACAAACTGTGTATTCATCATGTTGGCCAATATCTTGTACAGTGTGTTAAGTAACATGATTCCTCTATAATTGTTTGGGTTGTCTTTCATGCCAGTGTTGTAGATCGGATAAATTAGTCCATTCCTCCAATTGTCAGGGCAGGTCTCACTCTTCCAGATCTCATTGAGTAGTTGCAAAAGATCCTCACTCATTTATATGTAAATGCCTTATAAAATTAATTGACAAGGGGACTGCATACAAAATAATGTAATGTTTGACCTTTGCCCTCCAAAAATTAGAAAAAGAACCTAATTTAAAATAATTCCTAAATATGAGTGTATTGGAACAAGGTATTTGCCCTCCAAGTTGCAAAATAATTGGCCCAGAAACATAAAAGTGGAGCATAATTGTAACTGTTGAAAAGAAGAAGGAAACAGGAAATATGACATGTATACCTTTTTATAGGGGATACATAATTAAATAAAACCACAATAAGTTCAATACCTGAAATATCTGGTTGGCTTTATCATACTCTTCTTCCAAGAAATAGTGCACCCATAACATATTCTTAGGTATAAAAAACTGTTCTTGGTTGGCATACTTTTCTGTCAGTTCCACAACTAGTGTAGAGAAACAAACATAAGTGACTCTTTACAAAACCAAATCATCCAGAAACAAACACATGTAATAATCTTTAAAAAATCACAAAATAATCCAGAAACAAACATAAGTGACTCTTTACAAAACCAAATCATCCAGAAACAAACACACTAATCCAGAAACAAACACATGTAACAATCTTTTTTTGTGATTTTTTTAATCCAGAAACAAACACATGTAACGATCTTTAAAAAATCACAAAATAATCCAGAAACAAACGCATGTAACAATCTTTAAAAATCACAAAATAATCCAGAAACAAACACATGTAACAATCTTTAAAAAATCACAAAGTAATCCAGAAACAAACACATTTAACAATCAACACAAAACCAAGTCATTGAGAAACAAACCGTGCAACAATCTTTACAAAATCATTGAAAAACAAATATGTGTAACAATCTTTACAAAACCAAATCACACTTTATGTAATAATGTAAGAAATCAAAAATCACATTTTATGTAATAATGTAAAAAATCAATCACACTATGTAATAATGTAAGAAATGAAAAATCACAATTTATGTAATAATGTAAGAAATCAGCAATCACACTTTGTAATAATGTAAGGAATCAAAAATCACACTTTATGTAATAATGTAAGAAAAGCAACAATCGCACTTTATGTAATAATGTAAGAAGAGCAACAATCACACTTTATGTAATAATGTAAGAAATCAATCACACTTTATGTAATAATGTAAGAAATCAATCACACTTTATGTAATAATGTAAGAAAGCAACAATCACACTTTATGTAATAATGTAAAAAATCAATCACACTATGTAATAATGTAAGAAATGAAAAATCACACTTTATGTAATAATGTAAGAAAGCAACAATCACACTTTATGTAATAATGTAAGAAAGCAACAATCACACTTTATGTAATAATGTAAAAAATCAATCACACTATGTAATAATGTAAGAAATGAAAAATCACACTTTATGTAATAGTGTAAGAAATCAGCAATCACACTTTGTAATAATGTAAAGAATCAAAAATCACACTTTATGTAATAATGTAAGGAATCAAAAATCACACTTTATGTAATAATGTAAGGAATCAAAAATCACACTTTGTAATAATGTAAGGAATCAAAAATCACACTTTATGTAATAATGTAAGAAAAGCAACAATCACACTTTATGATTGTTGCTTTCTTACATTATTACATAAAGTGTGATTGATTTCTTACATTATTACATAAAGTGTGATTGTTGCTCTTCTTACATTATTACACACTTTATGTAATAATGTAAGAAAGCAACAATCACACTTTATATAATAATTTAAGGAAGCAATAATCATATATTGTGTCATAATGTAATAAAACAACAATCATACAGTATGTCACAATGTAAACAAAAAGCAACGACAACTATAAAATAGCAACAATCATATACCTTTTACCTAGAAACAAAAGGCTATAAGTAAGTTTAATACCATGTTGAACAAAAACATTAAAAGTTAGTAAGATTAATTCCGAGGTTAAAAATGATGCAACTAAATCATTACTTATATCTGGTCATGTAACAAAGATCTACCTGAAACTTACTTTCATTTTCCAATTCTGGATGTTTCTTCATTACACCCAAGATTCCTCCAGAAGGAAATCTGTTTTTACTTTCACTTAAGTCTTGTCCCAGTTCAGCTAAAAGTTCTTTGGTTCGATCACTGTGAAATAAACAGCAAAATAACAACTTTTTTTTTTCTTAAGAGAATTAACAAATGCAAAGTTCCAATTATTTGTAATTCTTGATGTTCTCAAAATTTGCAGGTCAATATTTTAATGTTCCTTTAACAAAGTTGTTAACATTTTTTTAAACACCCAGTCTGTGAGTTAATGAGACCAAATTTGGAGGGGATTGGTTATGCTACAGAGGGGTGTCACAGTTTCTGGTATTTGTGTTAGAACCACATAAAAAAAAAAACTCTAATAAAGAGGTCGATCTTTAACTTTAAAAAACATTTTACTGACAAAAACTATCAAGTCGCAACAATGCTTTGCCATGAAGATGTGAAATTTAGGGTGTTGGTCGGACTGTGTTCCACTTGCACAAAATAACAGATGTGTTCTAGTTCAGGCAAGTAGTGCCCTTAGCCTCCTCACAGTGGCAAGTAAGCATCATTGAGCTTTCCTCAGCCATCTCTACAGATAGAATTCACAAAAACGACAGAGAAAGTGGCTTCATAGAGCCGAGGAACCAGATATTGCACTGCACAATGTGCAGCCACTACTGTGTTTTGCATGGAAATTTGGACGGGAGTGTGGATTTTACTCCCTCATAGCCTGGAAATTAGTGCAAGTTTAGCCATGTTGGTGGGCAATTCACATTTCAGATATTGGAAGTAGGTCAAATCTCTATTCAGAACTAAAAAAAAAAGTAGTAGAAAAAAAGAGCAAGAATACCAAAAATCCGTGTTCAGGAATCAATCCACCAAACATGTCTTCCCGACTCACAAACAAACTTTCAAAACTAACATTCTGTTAAAACTCAGTAAAAACATATTTTCCATATGTTTCTAGAAATATGGCTTAAGTTTTTTATAACTAATGCTTTCATTCTACTAAGAATGAGAAATACTAATAGATCCCAAAATCAAAGAATTTATTTGTGATTTAAAATGTTCCATTTCAATGCATAATTCATTTCATAATTAACTTAAAATTGTGTTTTATATGTGAGGAATAAGTTTTTTTTTAATTTCTGGAATTTTTTGTTTTGTTAAGTTTCAAGCAAAGGCATGAGGACTATCTGCCCCTAATCAAATAGTGGGATTTGATTGCCACTCCTATAATGCATCCACATCCCAAAAATGTGGAGCTCAATCTGTTTTTCTTTCTTTGGTGTGTGTGTGTGTGGTTATAGGGCACAGACCATGGGACCTTGGATCTGCAGTGTGGCATGCTAACTCCTAAGTTGTGCTTAGCCATTCCAGAATGTATAATGCGCATTTTGTGCTTAGCCATTGCGGAATGTATAATGCGCATTTTGTGCTTAGCCATTGCGGAATGTATAATGCGCATTTTGTGCTTAGCCATTGCGGAATGTATAATGTGCATTTTGTGCTTAGCCATTCCGGAATGTATAATGTATATTTTATACATTTTGTACATATATTTGGAAGTCATGTGGTCCAAACACTTGTAAACTCTTTAGAATTCAGAGTATCTTAAACAAAAAAGGAAGTACTTAAAAGAACTTGTAAAAAAGAATGGCATATTTTTCAAGACTTCAAAACCCCCCTTTAACAGGTTTGGTTACATCAACTTGATGATTACTGTGCTTTGTACTTTTTATTAAAAAATAAAACTACACTCTTTTTAAAGTTTTACAGTTACTATACACCTTACACTGGTTTCATAAAATAAAGAAATCACTTTAATCTAACCTTTCTGTTACATTCTGTAATACTATTCCCATTAAGAGTTGAAGAAGCAAGTTCACATTAAATACTTTACATTGTAATCACAATCTCAATATTCACACAGTGTATATCAATAATTACCATTGTAGTTAGTTAAAACTATTTCTTAAAACTCTTTGCAATGTACATAAAAACAAGTTAGTATCATATTAACTTTAACATTTGCAATTAAGGACATGGGTACTAAGGCTGCTGAAGGTTCAGAGTACCCCCTGATCAATTTTATGCATATCTTTGGCATTACTGTATTATCAGTTCTTTCCACCATGACAGAACAGTATGTCACTCACCTATTAATGTATGCATTAGCTAGGAAATTATCAAATGAAACAAGCTTCAGTACAGATGATGGGAGCACGGACCTCATATTCTTGATGGTCTCAACATCTCCAGCTCGTGCTAATCGATTTAGAAGAAATTTCAAAACTTGTGATTTTGGAAACATCTGATGCCTGAAAAGATCTTGTGAAATATTGGTTGCCTCTGGAAATAAACCAAATATTGAAGTATTATACCTTTTCTTACACTGAAAAAAAAAAAACAATTACAAGCTTCAAAGGTTTAACAAATATAAACAGAAGTAAACATTAAAGTTTATTTTGAGAAGCTATAAATCAAAATTAAAAACAGGTAACACTAACATGCATAATACTTTGTTACAAAATTAAACAGTGTATAATGACATAAACTGAACTTTAACTATTTATTCCTCTATTCTATTACATGAAACATTTATACTTTTAAATCATTTTTAAATTAAGTATACAAGTACCTAATAATCGATCTTTACGAAGTAAAGCTTCAATGAGTGCTGTACTCATCATGAGATTAAGTTTCTCTCCACGATCTTCCATGCTATAAGATAAATATATCAAACTTTCAAGTCAAAAGATTAAAACTATATTTAAAGGTTATATTAACATTTGTGCAGAATACTGACTTTTAACACACAAATCATGATGTTTGTATAAATGTTCAATCATAGCTTCAGTTGTAGTAGTATTAAATAACAAATATTTGGTTTATCACATTTTCTGAAGACACTTTCCAAGTGCTTATCATAATACTTTAAAGGTAAACAGTATAATCTTTATTCAACTTGCAGGATTTCAGCTGTAATACAACTTGAAGCATCAGCCAGAGAAATTAAATTGAGTCTTCTAAAGGGCTTTACACAGAAATTCCAATATTTTTTTCTCAATGAATCATTAATTGGAGACTATTAAACAGCACATACACTAAATAATTATTTTAAATAAACTAATCCTAACTATTACACTAATATTATCATATAACTTGATACAAAGAGACAGAATAAAACTACCTTCTTTTAAACTCCAAGGCCTTATCTACATCTTCTGCCTTAATGTATTCCATAAAATTCATTTTGCCACTACCAGACTCCTCAGACTGTGGCTCGGGAATCACAAATGGGACTTCTTCTCCATTTTTCTGCAAGAATTCAGCTAAAAACCGAAGAGTTTTAGCGCGAGGTTGAACATTTTCATCTTGCATTGCAGTCCACACAGCAAGGGCTTTCTTAACATCATTGACTTTTGCTATAAAACAACAACTAATTTTGTATATTGTTTAACCGTAATTTGAAATAACTTACAAATACAACGAATAAACAAATTAACACTAGAGCAGGGTCATTCGTGGAATTTGCTAACTGATTAACTGTCGGGCTCACTAATAAACTACACTCAATCAACTACTGTTATTTGATAATCTTCCTATTTCTGTTAGTTTTAGTTTTCTTTAATATGATAAATATCCTCAGTGTTTCCACTCGCACATTTTTCATAAAACAACTGATTTTTGCCAAACATTTTGGTACAACTTTTAAAAGAGATAATCTGAACATTCTCTACTTGATGAATCTCTAAACTCGAGATTAACCAGACGGCCATATTGTTTATTTTAAAAACATGAAGTGATTCCCACAATGATCTCGTGTAAGTAAATTAAACTGGTAATCAGATAATGAAAAAATTTCACTAGTGCTAATAATTGCAATAATGTATTTAGTTAAAACACATCATGACTGCAATTAGAAATAATTAACTAGCCACTTAGTCTATGTATTGTTGTACACTGTTTGAATACATAAAAATAATATTAAATAAGGATTTGAGTCATCAGAATATGTAACTGTCATCTAAGTTTATCTGATATTCGCTCAAGAAAAAAATTACCATAACTATGAAACAGATACGATGTAATACACAAACACTTTCATGACTGAAATTATCTTCTAAAGAAACAATAAACAAATTACAAGCCCTGTCATTTTTTCCAAAGTCTTACTCTATCCAATCATATTTAACCCTTCCTTATAGCTGTTTCATTAGTAAATAATCAAATCACTTGATGTGACAACATAGAAGGATGGTAATCAAGGCCTGTACGAAAACTAAACATAAAAAGACAAGAGAAACTTAATAAATGGATAATATATTCTCAAGGGATGATAATTTCTTATGAAAAATAAAACTATTCTTTGGGATGGCATTGAAGTTTTCTCTTTTTTTTTTTAATTGACAAGTGTTACATATTTTGCCTCAGGATTGTGCAGAATTGAAAACTAACATTTTTTTCATTTTCTTTGGGAGTTACATACATTAAAGAAATGTCAGAAATATGCAAAATATTGATTCTAAAATATTTTGGAATTAAATTTTTTGAAATAAATCAATATATAAAATTCATTTGGAAAAAGTAATGCCAAAAAGTATGAAAAGTCAGAAGAAATCCTACCCTGTCTTCAGGAACAATACTTTATAATTAAGTTACTTTGTTAACCTTAAACTATTGTACATAAAAATATATCATATAGCAATGCAGAAAGATGAAGATACGATTAACTGTGGCTCCTCCATAAAGATTTCTACAAGACTACAGTATCAAGACTACCAAGTTGCTGTTCATGAAAATATTCACATTATTTCAAAATATTTTCAAACAACTTTTTATATAAAGTTAATAAACTTTATTACCCAAAACAAATATTAAAAAAAAACAACAATAGTTTCAGCTATAGGCTTACAGGAGTTGTCAGGTAATTGAATGCATTTTTCTTTGTTGGAAAGAAAATTGTTTTTGAAACCACATTTAAGAAGACATAAGATCGGACCAACAATACTGATGTTCAGAAAAGAAATAAAGAAATATCATAGATGAAGTATATACGTTAAACATTTTTTCAAATATCAAAAAATTGCCAAAAAGATTTGATTACAACTCATAAAATTACTTAATATAACTTGTAGGTAAAGGTTAACAATGTTACTATTGACTCAGTGGATCACACCGATCACATAACCCCAAAGCGACCAGTTTCCATGTTATAGCTTTTAACATGTTTTGTGTATTTTTACAAAACCTTTCAAGCTTTTACATTAAACATTACAAGTCTATTGTAAAAAAAAAAAATCAGAAGTTTTAAGTATTCTTACTAAAAATTTGTCCACGAATGTATGTCCAAGTGCAAAGTGATTTTCATGTTAAGGTTAAAAGTATGTTTCTTCATCTGAAAATTTTCGAATTTCATTTGCATAATCTTTATAAGACATAAATTTTTTTCCAGAAAAACTTGACATTTTGCCTGATATTTTCTCTACCCTAACTCTATATGGGGTTGGTCAATTTGATCCATCTGGTAACCACCAGCAAACTTTAAAGGTTGAAACATACAAGATACAGTGTGCAGTACTGTTCTATCCACTTTAGTATTGACTACAAAGTTCCAAGGTACTTCCCCAGACAATTTCTACTTATAACTTTTTCACACCTATTTCCTGTTTATGTTACTGTTAGCAGCTGAAGTAGAAACCTGCCAATCGTAAAGTAATGAATCACTGCTCCTGCCATTAGACTGTTTACATGACATTGTAATACAACACTATCGGTCACAAATAAGCTTGTGTGGTGCAATTATCATAACATTCCTACAGAGTTTATTTTAATCCCAGTTCCTAGAACACAGTGGGAGAGAACTATCAGCTTGTTTACTGCACAGTGGTTGCAACAAAAATTATCTAAAATAATAAAAGTGTGAGAAAACATTTATGATATGACTATGTACAAAGTCTGGGCCAATCCAATAAACTTGGTAGGTGTTTGGATGTTAATAAACTCATGACTAAATGTTAAGCACAGCTCTGCATAGAATAGTTTAGTATATTTCACTTAATACACTTGCAAATATGGCCTATCTAGACCAGTGTAAAAATCATTGACAGGTTTAATATCAGCCTCAGCATAGTTATTTTTCACATCTAAGACTGGATATAATACTAAAGCTTTCCCACAGAATTTATTATAATTCTAATTCCAAGAAAATAATGGGAGAGGATTTGTCAGCTTGTTTACAGCACAGTGGCTGTAACAAGAATTATCTAAAACAATAAAAGTTTGAGAAAACGTTTATGACATGACACTGTACAAAGTCTGGGCCAATCCAATAAACTTGGTAGATGTTTGGATGTTAGTTATCCTTCCAGGGTGGTTGGAATTTAGAGTTATAGGTATACAAAGTGTGTAAGTGCTCATGAACATGTTTATATATTATTACTATCTACTTATAACTGCTGAATTTCTAGTCATTTTTCTTAAAACATACAATAAATAGAAAATATATACAAAAACAAGGATTTCTAGTATTTACTATGTTACAAAATTGACTTATACCTGTGCAATTAGCTTGAAGGGGAAACTTGCAGTTTCTTTGGAAATGGTGAAGCCTGTTGACTAATCCATTGTTCTGAACAGAAATTATAAACCCACATAAAGTTTAGTTAGAAAGCCAGATAAATTACAGTGGTATTATGTGTACCATTATAGTAATTATTTTGGATTTCTAAAAACTATATTTGAAATCTACAAAAATTAATTTATCTTTCTCCTCCACAAGAGAGAATAAATGAGGCTTACGGCAAAGCTTAGCAATTATGATACAGATGAATGTCAGATTTACGTAGTTTGCAATGTGTTCTTTATATTGGTTATAAACATGTACTTAAGAGAAGTAGGCATCAGTAGAAAAGAGGTCTCAAAAGAATAAAGTAATTGGAGGGGCTACCCTGGTAAGTTTGCAAAATATATTAATATATCAGCAAGTCAAAAAAATGGGAGGTTATTATCTTATATTCTAGCTTATAAATGTCTGAAGTTTGAGTTTCTAATTCTAGACATTGTATGGTAGGCATAATAAAATATAAATTGAGCAATACGACATGTCATATGACACATAAAAACATTTGATTTTTTTTAAATATTTTCTTGTGAATGAAGAAATTAAAACAAAATATTAAAATTTGAATTATAAACTACATTGTGATACCAATTTTATGACATATAAAGATAATAAAGTTGTTTAATCACATTTTGAAAATAACTAACATAATAACATGCACCCTTTGACCTGTCTGTCCATTGAGAGAAGTGTTAACATAAAAGTACTAAATATAACAGTGATTACTGAGATAACTAGTAGGTACAGATTAACATAAAAATACTAAATATAATACTGACTAGTAAGGTAATTAGTAGGTCCAGGTTAACATAAAAAAGCTAAATATAACAGTGACTAGTGAGCTAATTATTATGCACAGGTAAGTACAAGTTACACATGTTTCTTCAATTTATTTTATATAAGCACAATTATACCAATGCAATTTATAAACAGCTGGTAAACAGAGTATACACAACTAAATTTAGTTGATAAAGCACGTGTATACTTCTGGTGCATCTCCACTGTACAAGGGAACAATAAACTTAACAGTATGTGCTATTTTCACTGGTTGAAGTTATAAGATAATAATGTCATCATGGGTATAAAATAAGCAATTATTTTGTAAACAATGATATTCTAATGCGAAGTGAGTCAACAAATTATTATTTTGGACAAGCAAAATTCTGATTACACACACACACACCTCTACCCTTATTACATACTTATTTGTTACTCCACTTTAAGTGAAAAAAAAATAGTGTTTGTAGTAACACTGCCAGGGACTAATAGAGTAGGTTAGTAGGATTTTTTTCCACAGTGCTTTTTTACTAATCACTGTTTCATTGCACTGTGATATCCTGACAGAGTATTTTTCATGTACTCTACCAAATCAAGAATTATGTTACTTTTATTTTATTTAGTTCCATGTCTGTTCTTTTAGCTACTATGCATTTTTTTTCCTTATTAAATTCCCATTAGACCTATATGTTACAGGCTGAAGTCATTACTTCTAATTCACAGCTGCCCCAGTAGCATTTCACTTGAAATATGCTATTGAAATAGTAATTAATTATGTGCACCACACCAAATCTTCTTCTTGATAATGTTTAACAGTTCTTTATATAATTTTGTTCATTAACATACACCATATATTATACACTTCAATTATGCAATAGCAAGAAGTGAGAAATATGTTTCCAAACATAACAAGCTAAGTGCTACTACACATATTAGTAGTATGTAGTTCATCATACATTTTAAATTATTTTAAACAATTGGATAGTATTGATAGAGAAAGAAAGTGTTATTCAGAAAACAATACTGGTGTAATTCCCATCAATTTATTGAAATAAGCATGCTGTAAAAGATAAAAAGTCAAATAATACATCTTAGAAAAAAAAATATATGAAATTTATACAAAAATACTGAGAAGAAACATATCCACTAAGGCTTATTAGCAAAAATTAGTATAATATTGACAGAATAAAAACACAACTATCTTTAACCTATTTTAACATAAATTTATTGAAATTATTATGATTCAAACTTTTTGTCCAGTATAATTTCAAGAGAGAGAGTTCCAGTCAGTTATGTTTTGTTGACAGGTTATTAGAATATTTGCTCACACAAATAAAAGGTGAAAACATAGCTGATCAATAAACATCCAATTACATTCTCTGGATGGTTTTGCAAGAGAAGACATAAAAGTTTTAGTGTAATTTTTTTATAAGGACCAGTTCAGTTACTGCAAACAAAATTTTTTTTCTAAGCCTTATGGAGGTTATACTGCAGTGCAGCCTATTTATACATGATTGATCACAGAATACATTTACATATTATTATATACAATATAAAGTACAGTGTAAAAATAAATAATATGTCATGTTTTTACTACCTTAGTAAATGATACTTGCAAATATTAATATTATATTAATTTAATGTGTTACTGTTTATTGAAAATCAATTACTATATTTATATTTGAAATTTATTACATGGTTAGGAAGATGGCATGACTAATCGGATAAAGAAAACCACTTTGCTAGTATTTACCCTGTGGGGTTTGACACATGCCAGTGCCTGCCAACATCTTCTACCACACCATAACTTCAGGTAATTAAGAGTGTGGTGTTACAAACATAGGAGTACATTTATAGTTCAGAACTAAATAATAAAATTAAACAGATTATAAATTTCAATGTAACACAATATAAAAACAGTAACTGTAATATTATTCAACATTAAAGAATACAGTAACTTTACCCTTCATATAAGGCTTAACTAGCCCATGAATTATCAGCAGGTGTCGCTAGCCAGTTGCCTTATCTCTATTCAGCGGTTCAAAATTAGGATGGTGCCAGATAGCTTTAGCAGCTTTGCCACACCTCAAAAACAAATAAATAATTTAATGCCTTGCAGCTGAAAGAGTAAGCATGTTTGGCAACAAGATGAACCAAAGGAAACCTTTGAATCACAAGGAAATCTAATCACAAAGCCATGTGGCCCAAAGCTGAACAAACCAAACTTGAATTAATCCAAAAAGAAATAATCACAAATCAAAGGTAATGTTTTGATTACTTGGATAATAAAAATAATAACAATCAGAAACACTAATTTTGATTATTTCACCTACCATTAATTAATGTAATTGATGTTCATAAGTAATCAATTAATTGCCCTGCTCTGCTTAACTTTGCCATGGATTTTAACTATTAGATACAATGAAATACTTATAAATTTTGGTTCAACACTCTCATGGAAATCATTAATATATATATTCCATATAAAACAAAGATGGCAATTACAACAGTACATTGTATATACACTATAGTACACATTTATTAGATAATTTACACTTGGAATTTTCTAACTGTTAGTTCAACTCACAGAAAGTTCATTTTTATCTTACCATAGCCACACAGAAGGTAGTAGTACATTTGGTCCCTGTCGATGTCAAACAAGTCACGTGTGATGTTCACTAGATCTTCTAATTCAGTAATCTGTCACAATCAAAATAAAAACTCATCAGCCTTTATAAATTTTAAAACACTCTATATAAGACATCTGAAGCAATCATGGATGAGGTCTGTAATATTCAAATCTTTTCCAAACAATCTTTCTTCAGATGTATAATCTAACCATCCTTTCAAGTTGATATGTTACTAAAATTTGTATGCATAATTCTCTAATGATTAGTATATATTTAAAGAAGTACTTGGTGCAAGTTCATGAAAATCAATAATACCAGCTCTATTAACTGATGTGAAAATTATTAATGAATAAACATAAAAAAACAACTAGATTTGACAAGCAAAGCTTGTCAATCTGAAGAAGAGTAAAATTGCTCTCGGTCTCATGTACATTCAGGTTCAAAACAGCTACAGAAGGGTTAATATTCTCTAATGATAGAAGAATGCAAAGACTATGTTAAAAAAACACTTCCAAATGTGGTTGAGTTCAAAACCCCTTTTCTAATTATGCATTTTTTCTCTATTACGAAATATTTCTATCACTTTTCTCAAGTTACACTGATGTAAAACTTTGGTTCAGCAATGATATTGGATTGATTGAAATTGATTTTGTGGTTGGTTGCATTAACATGTAATGTTAAAAACCAATTTTTCAAATTATTTTCAACAGCAGTAGGATTCTTGTTTCTTTAACTGAAAGAGATTGTTTTGTATGACCAATACAAGAATGATTCTAAGAACAAGGAATGGAAAAAGTACCCCGTTTTTGAAATATATTATACAAAGAGAAAGATAAGATAAAGTTTGTTCACTGGTTTATAGCCTGGTTCAATTTTAGTTCATTTAAAAATAGCACCTACTTTGTTTGATATCAAGGGTAGTAGGGTATCATCATATAAGAGTCATCCCTTACTCTATCTGAAGTTACTTGGTTCACCTTAGTATAAAACAAAATCAGTTGTTAACTTTGCTTTAAATCCTCAAGAAAAAGCAAGATTTTTGAGGCAATTTAATTTCATGAATGCACTTTTCATCAGTTTTGTATATGCCAACCTTCTGATGATAAGAATGTCTGGATTTATTGTGTGAAAATGGGCTCACACTTATTGGTTTCCAACAGATGTAACTCTCTGGGTTTGAGTTTGTTTTGAATTTTTTGCAAAGCTACATAAGCACTATCTGCACTAGCTGTCCCTAATTTAGCAGTGAAAAACTAGAGAGAAGGCAGCTAGTCATCACTACCCACTGCCAACACTTGGGCTACTCTTTTAACAATGAATAGTGGGATTGACCGTCACTTATAATGCCCCCACAGCTGAAAGGGTGAGGGGATTTGAACCCACAACCCACAGATTGCAAGTTGAGCACCCTAACCATCTAGCCATGCCAGCCACTCTCTATCTGAGCACCATGTAACTAAAACAATGAAAACAGTATGTGATCAACACATTCTAGTTCATAAGTCTTTTGTCTCGAGTGTACTTTAATATCTTATGAAACTTTAATCAGCAAGTAAGTTGAATATGTTGACAAAATATCATACATAGAGATCAGGTTTTTCATCTAATTCATTTAAGAACTTATTTTCAGTCATCCATGAAAATGCCATAAAGAAGAGGGTAAAGTGAACTGCCCATACTCAAAACATAGAAATATGAGTTGCTGAGATATAATCTAAGTATGCATATAATTTCATCCCTAATGATAGGAAGGGTAAAAATTATCTAGTCAATAATTCATTTAGGGTTCCATCTACCAGAACTTTGGTGAATAAGGTTTTTATATTAAAGGACACCATACACCTTTTTTTTACTTTATTTAACTTGGTAACAAACTCTTTATATAGTATATTTATTTAAATCCACTAATAATGATAGTCTATTCACTAAATACGAGACATTGGGTTATTGTTGCAGCTTGTCTAAGCTGTGTAAACCTTCTTTGTACAGTTTGGAAAGAACAAAGTTTTTGGGGGAAAAAACATTAGAAGTGATAAAATTTAATTTCTCTTTCTGATAAAGTTTTAATTTTCTTGATTTCAGCTTTGAATTGTGTTGAAATGCTTTTCATTGGGCCAAATTTCAGTTTGGAATATGAACCATCATATTAGTTTACTGACAACTTCACTGTGCCATTTTTTTTTAAATCACAATTTTGTAATCTTTGTCAACTTAAGTTACTAAAAGTCCTGCAGATGCTTCATTTTCAGATTTAGTTACATTACTAGTAGGAACCAAACCTCAAGTTTACTGTATTTAAATCACATATTCCTGCTTCAACATCAGAACTAATTTCTTCATGGTCAACTTTGCTTCTTGAGGTAGAGAAATTAGCTTTAGCACTACATTTTCACACAACCAATCACAAATTAATTTGATCAATCAAAAAGTCATTGCTAAACCCAAGTTCTTCCATTAATAGAACACTAGGGAATTGATATAAGTATTTAAAAACAAAAATCATGTTCAATAATGAAAATGGGATTTGAACTCAACCTTATTTAGAAGTCATTGTTTCAGCTTAGTACTTACACGTCAATGAATACTGATCTCTCTAGTCAGTTTTGAGGCTGATTGTACAACATATTAAGGATAGTTTTACTCCATCCCTTGAGAATGACAAGCTTGGCCCATCAAAACTAGTTGAGTATTTATGTTTTGCTAAATTTTAATCATTTGTACATTATTCTGCTGATATGGTATTAATGTTTTTTGGCATCAGCTATCACTTATATTTACTTAATGAAAGCTTTGGTTAAAATAACATCATTAAGAAGTTTAGATTTTATAATTATAGCAATTAAATCAGAAAAAAAAAAAATAGTAATCCTTGAATACTTGCAATAATAATCTGAAGACCTACAGTAATGTACATATCTATTGTAACACCTCAAAACTGCCAATGTACAAGCTTTAACACAACACAGTCATTGCTTTGCTAAAAAAATCAATGTTTAATTACAGAAATTAATCTTATAGGACACTATCCAAAGTTAGTATGCAAATTAATTAACTTTCTTTAATGCTAATATTTAGTGTGACCACCTTTGACATCAATAACAGATTTTTTTTTGTTTATTTTCATAAAATCTCTGATCAATTTCACTTTTCTTGAAGTTATGTCCAAATTCTTTCTCTGGTACAGTTGTTACTTTTATCCTTAGCTTTCCGTCTTTGCCAAATAAGTTTGAAATTTCTTAGAAGTGTGTTAGGGGGTCAGTATATTCTTGGAATAAGAAATTCTTTCTCTGGTACAGTTGTTACTTTTGTCCTTAGCTTTCCGTCTTTGCCAAATAAGTTTGAAATTTCTTAGAAGTGTGTTAGGGGGTCAGTATATTCTTGGAATAAGAAATTCTTTCTCTGGTACAGTTGTTACTTTTGTCCTTAGCTTTCCGTCTTTGCCAA